ACCACCACCACCACCTCCTCCTCCTCCTCCTCCTCCTCCTCCTAGTCCTTCCCCTTCCCTCTCCTCCTCTCTCTTCGTAACTCACATGTCGCCATGTCTTCTCGCTCTGCTCCTATATTGAACGTCCTTCAGACACTGGGAGCTCGCGAAGAAAGTCTTGGAGGACGTGCTGGCGATCATCAGCAAGGGGAGGCACTCCATCATCAGGTGCAGGAGGGAAGGAGGAGGGGAGCAGCTCTCAAGGCGTCAGCAGGTCGTTGATAAGGGTGAGGGATGTACTGAACAAGGGAGAGCGATATCTGCTCAACATCCTCTACATCGGCAAGGGAGAGGGGCAGGACGAGCGATCCCTGATGAGCTGAACAGACGATTATCTCGTGTGGCTACAGTCACTTTCTGACAAGGAGTTTGCAACTAAGACTAGGGCGAGTGACTTGAACCTTGCCTCTCCTCTCCTGACTCTTTGATAGATCTTGGCTGAACATCTGTCCAACGCCATCTCCTCGCTCTCCAAGTCTGAATGCGGATGGAACCTGCCTCTTCTTGAACAGGTGATAGGCCTCCTCTTGCTTCACCCCTTCCCTCCCGTCCTCCATCCATACGCTCGTGCCCTCCTCCCCTTGTCTCTCACTCACTACCTCCTCTCGTCTACTCTCTTCCGCCCCTGACACTCCCTTCTTCCTCCTTCGATCCCATGCTGTATGCTCAGGAAGCGAAGGCTTCCATGGATTGCGGAGCAGCCGCCTCCTCCTCGGACATCCGCGAGAGTTCAGCAGCACCCGGTCCTCCCCTAGCCACCGCCAGCACTTGTGACATGCTGCAGAATTCATGGCCTCCACGTCCTCGTCCTCCTCGTCCTCGTCCTCGTCCTCGTCCTCGTCCTCGTCCTCGGTTACGATCAAACCTTGTCATTTAATCGTGTCTGCGCGCACTGACATGCTGCTGGCACTAGGACGAGGAGAGCGAGGAGAGCGAGGAGAGCGAGGAACAAGGGAAGAGCAACCTCCTTGAAGTTCCTTCCAACCCGCGATCCATGCTCCTGCTCGACAACTTGGCCGGAGGAAAAGGAGCCGACAGCGAGACATCGGTGAACCTTTCTCCTTACTTCTCTTCCTGCTCCTGCTCCTGCTCCTGCTCCTGCTCCTGCTCCTGCTCCTGCTCCTGCTCCTGCTCCTGCTCCTCCCGCGTTCTCTTGCTCATATCTCCCGTGCAGCGTTCTGGAAAGCTCATAGAGGAGCTGTCGGAGTCAAGACCAGCGGCGGCGAGCAAGCTTCGAGCAATCACTTCTCTCCCATCTGTTGTCACATGGTGTCCCGTCCTGCACAGAATAAATTCTGCCTGAGACTAAACTAGTTTGTCATCTTCTTTCTCTTTCATTACTAGTTTTTCATCTTCTTTTTCTTTCATTACTAGTTTGTCATCTTCTTTTTCTTTCATTACTAGTTTGTCATCTTCTTTTTCTTTCATTACTAGTTTGTCATCTTCTTCCCCCTCTGCTTCCGGTGATGCTCTTGCATATGCTTCTGGATCTTCTTCATGACCGCCTTGCTCAGGCTCGCAACCTCTTCCCAGCTGCTCTTGTGCTGTTCCTCCAGCATCTCCATCAGCATTGCGCGAGCACAGACTTTTAGCGAGAAGGCTTCATCCTCGCAGAAGCGATTGAGTAGTCGCATCACCTCTAGCACACGCATGTCTCCTCCTCCTCCTTGTTCCAGCCCTTCCTGCAGCAGGTCCAACATCCCCGCGTGCTTTATCATCTCCTCCACCGACTCGGGAACGTCTTCCGTCATCGCTCGCAGCACTTTGAGCAGGCAGGTCGCGAGCTTCGAGTCGCTGGCATGACGCAGGAGGGTCAGCACGCGGGGGAGGAAGCGAGGAGTTCGAAAGAGCGTGCGGTCGACGTTCACGAGCACCTCATACTGCATGTTCAGCCTCAAGCGCGTTGCGGCTCTGCGAAGTTTCCCTTGGATGACGCCCTTGTCGTCAAACCCGAGCACCTCCCCCTCGAACCCCTCCAGCCGAGCCCCCTCCTCGTCCTCTAGCTCAAACCAGCCCTGCTCCAGCTCCACCAGCCTCCTCGCCTCGTCCTGCAGCGTTCGCTTCCTCCCCAACGCTGCTCGTCTCACCGAGTTCACGTCGCTCTCTTCGTCCTTGACGCTGATCGCTTGGGGGGTCAGGCCTTCGCCGCTCCTCTTCCCCAGCTCTTGTCTGCTTGTCCTCCCATTTCTCTGTTCTCTCGCTCGCTCCTGCGGAGATCGCTTCGTCCCTCCTGTCATGTCAGAGGTTTCATGGGATACTGACGGCGAGATCAGCCCTGCTTGCAAGGCCTGCAGCTCCTTCTCGAGCCTCTGCAGCTGCTGTTGCGTCATCCTCGTCAGCTTCACTCTTCCCTCCTCCGTCCCGTGCAGCTCGAGCGTCTCGCACGACAAGCGCAGGCAGCCCAGCTTTTCTTCCCCCACCATGTCCCAGTCGAAGAGCTCGAGCAAGAGCTCGTCTGACTTGTCGCTGATGCGAAACGTCGACGAGAAGTTCCAGACCGGATGGAGGCTGTTGCGGACGACAGGAGACACGCGCTGCTGACCGTTGATGGAGAGCTTGAGGAAGGGGTCGCAGAGGCCCCAGTTGTCACTCTGAGGCAGACACTTGCCCCGATCTAGCGACACCTGCAGCTCGATGTAGTCCTGGACGATCATCTCCGACAGCAGCTCCGCAGTCACCCTTCTCAGCTCCTCGTCGTTGATCCCCAGCAGACCCGCCAGGAAGGTCACCAGCTCCTCGTCGGGGTCGCAGCGTCTCCCAACGCCCACCACGAGGGGCCTGAGGCAGTGGAGGACGGCAACACGGAGGGAGGGAGGGCTGGCCGAGTACAGGAGGACCTTGAGGCGCGTGTAGAGTCCGCGAGCGAGGAGCAGCTCAGCAACGACCGTCTCCTTGGTCATGTAGTAGACGCACCATGCGGCGACTTGACAAGTGTTGACGTCTGAGTCGGACAAGCTCGCGATCAAGGCGGGCAGCTTGTGCTGGAGGTCAAGGAGGAACAAGCTTGACTCCGGGCTGAGCTGCATGAGGGTCTTGAGAAACGACAAGGCCAGCAGTCTGTTGGTGACGTCATCTTGGACGATGTTGAAGACGCTCTCGAGCCACATGCTGTTGGAGGTGAAGTGCTTCACTTGCATCAGGTTGTCCACCGACACGTCTGTTTGCTCGCCGCTTGAAAGAGACGCTAAGCTCGTCTCAAAGGCAAGAGCAATCGATCTCAGCAGCTTAAGCACTGCTCTTCTCATCTTGACATCTCTCCTGGTGCTCCTCTGGTAGAGCAGGTTCAGAAACGACGTCTGCTGCAAGGTAGTCGTACAGGTCCTCTCATCGAGAAGCATCAGACGAAGCAGCTTCGCGCAAGCATAGAACAGGTCTTCTCGCGGGCCTTGCAGCATGTTCAAGACGTAAGACATGACCTGAGAGTCAGCCCTCAGCTGCTGCAGTGCTGCTGGGCTCTTGCAGACAACTCGCGCCGCCGTGACCGCGTCGCTTGTCAGATCGTCTGAGTGCACGAGCTTGGCGGAGAGGCAGGTGAGGATCTGCTGGGTCTGAGAGGGAGACAAGCCGCCGTCGCTCTCTCGCGCCAGGAGCGTCACGAGCTTTGCTGTGAGGGGCCACAAGACTCGCTCGCCTCCTTCGAGGAGGCTGATGACGGTGTCGACAAACCCTCGACGGTGAAGGAGCTGCTGCAAAACCTCTCTTCGTCTTGCTCCCGCGTTGAACAAGCTCAGCAGCACTGAGTCGCGTTGGTTGTCATCTGTCACGACGCTCGCAAGGTCAGCAAGACGATCGATGAGGGACATGGAGGCCGATGCACAGAAAAAGCTGTCGCTCGAGAGCACTGCGATGGTCGACAAGACCCCAGCTCGCGTCGGGCTGCTGACGTCATCGTGCAGGATCTGCAAGAGGGTTGTATCGACGTGCATGCTCAGGAACATCACTGGGCGACCAGGAAAGGAGGAGAGAGTCCTGAGGAAGAAGAGAGGTTTCAGCAGGCTCCCCGTGCTCCTCGCAGCCTCCAGGTCGTTCATCACGCAGCGGGTCAGCATCACCTCCGCTGCCATGGCCGACCACAAGCTCACGTGCCCTCGTCGCCTTCTGATGCTTCGAGCGCCCAGCAAGCCGATGGAGTAGATCCGGTTCAGGTAGGGGAGAGCAAGGCCCTTGAGGTCGCCGGTAGCCTCCTTGACAATAGTATGAAACTCGAGGAATCGCGAGGGCGACCTCACGTCTGAGAGCCTGTCTGTGAAAGCGAGATGAGACAGCACGGGGCTCAAGCTGGGATGGTTCTTCGCACAGAGCAGCAGCTGCAGCAGGAGGTCGGTCTCCAGCTCGGCGTAGGCTGTCAAATCGTCTTTGACAGCGACCACGTGACGCAGGTACTCGCTGCTGAGACTCGCCAACCACTGCTGGAAGATGGTGTGAGCCAAGTCGTCGATGGAGGGCGAGAACTGACACGGAAAGTAAGAGTCCGTGCTATGCAGATGAAGTGCCGTCGCGCGGTAGTCGTGGGTTCGGATCTCATCTTGCCGGGTACAGCCGAGGGCGACGTGAGAAAAGGTGTACATGAGCATGGCGAGCTGCTGGAGATGATAGGCCACGACTACTGCGAGCCCTTGGACCCTCGACCACGAGGGGTTGAGGACCTGCGAGAGGAACAAGTGCAGGATCAGCACTGAGTTACCGTGAGACACGACAGCCTCTTGGTTGCTGACCAGCCATGCCCTCACGAACCTGCGATGCTTCTCCTCCTCCTCCTCTCTGCGCGGGTCAAACAGACTGGAGGAAGACATGACGACGCCTCGTTCGGCCAGCAGCAGCTGGAGAATGAAGGTCGAGCTGTCAAAGATAAACTGAGGGCGCAGGGGCTGCATGCTTGTCAAGCTCTCGACGTCAGTTGCCTCGGGCAGCATGAGAGCCACCAGGTCACGTGACCTGCGGGCATGAGCGAGCAGGTTGCCGCCATGCGTCAGGTCCTTGCCGATGAGGAGCACGTGGGAGTAGAAGCGACGATGAAGGGAGGAGCGAAGCACCGCCATCAGTCGGCCGATGACGTCACGCGACTTGAAGGTCAGCAACACCAGACGCTGCCTGCGGAACATGCGCTGAATCTGTCGAGAACAAGTTAAGGTATTCCTTGAGATCACGCGAGCAGGGAGATACCTTGGAGGCCTGATGGCAGAAGGAGAAGAACTCGCGATGCCGAGATCGACTTCGAATCACTCTCTGCAAGCTAGCAGCAGCTTCAACAAGCTCACGGTATCTCTTCGCGAGGTTCAAAGTTGAGAACCATCGCTTCAGCTGCCACTGAGCTCTCAGCATTTCTCGACGTCTGGCCCACACAGAGAGCCTCTTGATGGCGTCACTGAGGATCTGCGAGGCGCTACTTCGCAAGCTAGCTTCATAGGTCTGGTCGGCATGGATCAACATGTCCATCACTTGCTGGAA